AGGGACATGCTGAAAGGAAGTTCCATCATGTTACTGGCTGTTGCCATTACATAATTTGCTGAACTGCTGTTTAAGGATTTTACTTGCTGTTTTGAGGTTCAGACGCTGTAAATGTTATGAGCTTTTACATGATCCCTGTCCATTGTTAAATCACACCTTTCCTTTTTTTGGATATCTCTCTGACTTCATTATTCATGCCATCAGCATCTATTTGCCATCATTGGGGATAGAAGCTTGTACTGCATGGGTAGGCACAAAACCACATTCGTCAGGAATTATATACATAAGTATGTATTATACACAACAGTCTGGGTCGCCCTGGTCACCTCACTTGCTCATCATGTGGAATTGTGCAGTATAGTGCACAGCCAGCTGGCCTGTACCTGTACAGGCATCTATTGTCTCTATTCTTTACAAGTCTGGAGGCTGCTACCAAAATCATCACAGCAACATCAGTACCTTGTCTTGGCATGCAATTATACATACATGTTCTTCATCAACCTTCACCTGTGACCTGTTCCACACTACTACTGCACTGCTTCCTGTTTTCCTAGTGAACACCTACTACACACCACTGAACCACATATATGGCCCTAGACTCCCTACCAACTCATAGGGGGTCTAACAGCGGCTAACAGGCGTGCCTGTTAGGGAATGTTAGCCTAACAGATTCTCTAACAGTGATGGGGCTGTCAGACGATGTTTGGGCTGGCGGCAGGTGGATCTGGCTGTTAACAACCATGTTGAAGAAGTAGAACAGGAATTGGTGCTGTTAGCCGTTGTTAAGGCTTGTCAGATGTTTTCAGACTGTATTATAGCTCTGTCTCACGTTGTTGATGGATAATGTCGTTTAGAACAAACATTCTTGAACGGTTTGTAACGAAATGTCCTTCCTTTTGCCTAATATTTGGCAAACCATACGTTTCAAGCAATATCATCAATCATGCATATTACCTCGCTTATTAGCAAGGCACTAATTGACTGGATGAAAATCCAGGCTGCTGTTCCAAAAGCACTACTGCTGCAGTGGATTTAGGCATGAAACGAATGGCACTACTTACATGGCGTAAGGTATCCATGTGCTTCACAGTTTAGCATACGAAGCACTACTGCACTTGAAAAGCAGTTCAACGCCAATACCTACTTACAGCCACCAGCAGGCCCACAAGGTTGAATCATCTGCATCCTCTCTCTCGTTACTGAAACACAACGTGCTGCACTTAAAGTAGGCCCTGAGCTTAAGATAGAAGAAAACATGTTAATGTTCAAACTCAAGATCCTCCCTTCATATCCAGTGACCTGCTCCACCACATACAACCCGACGTATTGCATGCAAACCCAACCTTCATGCCTGCTGCATACACAACCAAGCAACTAAGCAACTGCTGGCCTATGAGTCCACAACATTGTAGCCTCCCTTGCCATTTCCTGCTCTCCTCAGCCAACCCTTGCCCCCCTTGACCTCTCTTGCTCTCCTCTGCCATCCCTTGCTCTCCTCTGTCCTCCTCTGCCATCCCTTGTGTTCCTCTGTTCTCCTCTGCCATACCTTGCCCTCCCTTGGCCTCTCATGCCCTCCTCTGCCGCCCCTTGCTCTCCACTTTCCTCCTCTGCCGTCTCTTGCTCTCCACTTTCCTCCTCTGCCCTCCCTTGCCCTCCCT